TAATGGACGTATTTTACTATGTGTGCTTCTAAGTTAATGGGGAATAAAAAAATAAAAAATGTATCAGTCTCATTTAGCTGTAAAACCAACCAGAACACATTTTCTGTAACATTATGAGTCCAGAGAGCAAAATCAATGAGTTTAATATCATTTCTAATGTCTCCCTCTGCTGGACAGAATTAGTTGTCATTGTAGATCGATGTGCTGCATCAAGAATTTAAATTTGTTAAATTGTTGCTCAGAGATTAAGATTATAACTTCCTCTGTATTTCCAGAGGTGACACCTGCTGCCTTTAGTATATTAATGTTGGCAACAAATTATCATATATATTCATGTTTTAATATTTCAGCAATGTTGGTTACAGTTTTCTGTTATGATCTTGGGTTCATCATGATATAACAAGAAGAAGAAACATTTTCCAAAATGCTAAAAAAGCAGAAAACACAATTTTTCTGTTTGACTCAAGTCCACTCTGTTTATTTATTTAGTACATAACAGATGATTCAAGGGACTTTATTGAAAAAACAAAACAAAACAAAACAAAACAAAACCCTCACATTTATTAACACATCCAGTCAGTTCAAATCATTCACACAGGCAGTTTGATGGTCAATTACATATTTTAAAATTTTATTCTAAAATAAGGCAAATTCAGTTTATTACTCCTTTTTTTTTTTTACTTTTCTATTAAAGGCAGAAGTTAAAACTGTCAAGATGAAATTAGTCAGAGGTCACAGAAATTATTCCAGATTTGATACATAAAATAATCAGGCAAGGAATACGTTACCGTACTTATCAAAACTTGTTGATGTGATTAGAACAAAATGTATCTATTTGTCCCTCATTAGAAAAACACCAAATGTAGGTAATAAACTGAAGAAAATTATTTAATTTTTATAATTTTAAAGCTTTATTGCAACTGGAAAAACAAAAAGAACGAACAAAAATCTCAACTGTTCAGTTTTATTCTGTTATATCATTGAACCAATAATTAGAAAATTAAATGTAGTTTAGTGAATTTGTTTGTTGTCTTGATGTCAAAGGCAAAGAAAATTATATAATCCAGCAGGTGATGATTTAGTCAATCAATAATTACTCAGAGATAAACGTCTAAAATCAGAAATAATGTTAAATTAAACATTTGTGTAGCTGCTGAGTTCAAAACTCTTAAATATCACATGTCAACTTCAGGATTATTATTATTATTATTATTATTATTATTATTATTATTATTATTATTATTATTATTATTCAAGGTAATTGACAGTTGAAGATGTAACTGAAGGAAGCAGGAATCAAACCAACAAGTTCATAAATCAGAGACGATGATGGTCGGCTAATCATCCATCCATCCATCCATCCATCCATCCATCCATCCATC